GGTTGTGGCTAATAATGTGTTAGAGGTTGTGTTAAAAGCTCATGCACTTCACATGGGGGGACTTGGCTATAAAATCTTGCCCATGTGTGACTCGGGTTCTCCCTTAGACCTGTCACCAGCCTTTGTTCTGGGTTGTTGTTAGTTTTAATAAAGCCCTGCTTTGTTAATTTTAACCTTTGTGTTGACTTCCGCCTTGTCACATTCTCTGAGCCTGGTTGTGACAAGTATATGAAAGGTGCAGTTCATAACATAAGACAAATTCATTCAAGGGCAAAAGCTCAACTCATTTAGACTGAAAGTACATGTTCACAGATTGCTTTAAGGGACTTGTATGAATGTCTGTGTCCACATGTAGTTATAGGCACCTTGGACTGGAGCTTATAGTCTCTTGCAGTATATTGTAGTGTTTTTTGCAACCAAACAAATAATATTCTACACAGTCTAGGTGGGTTTGGGAAATGGACAAAGGGGAAAAAAGCCAGCAAGACAGAAAACAGGTGTACACATGTTGTCTGTCTCTTTGGTGCAGGCTTTAATTAGTTTTTAGTAGGTTTGAGTAGAAAAGATTCTTTGAAGTGTTTCTCCCTCTGCACCACAGCAGAAGAAATTAGGCTGTCTGCTCAGTTTCAGTAGAATAGAGACTATCAAACAGCACACAATTGCAAATAGTTTGCACCTAATTTAGTGCAACTTGAATACCACTTTAAGAATGACTGACTGTCTTGTTTTTAAAAGCAGGACGGATAACTGCTTTTTTACTAACGCTTTAAAGGGTCAAATTATTTAACCATAATGCTTTGCTTATCTGTATGGTAGTGCATTGCTTGGTGGGCATAAATCTCTTAAGAATAAAGGCAGCAGGCTACAGAAACTTTAGGTGTCCTCACAGAAGCACTGGATAGCGTTGTCCAAAGGGCAAAGACAGTGGAAATATGTATGATATGGCTCCTATAAAGAACACATCTCTAAGCTTCTGAGAGTATTTTCTTTAAGAAACCTTTTCAGGACTTAAATAACAGATCCAATGCCACGTATTAATAGTATGTGCCATTCTTATTTGTATCGCAGTCCTGTGGAACTAATTATACATGGTGTTTTGTGTCTGTGGCAAGACTTTCTGAATAGGTCATAGGTTTTCGTGCAGAAGGGGAGTGATGTGAGGAGGAAATTACATCTGTGTGGCACCAAATTTAAGTGGTACATACACAGTCGATAGGAGCATACAAATTTTCTCACAAATAAAAAAAAAAACAAAAACAACGAATCACACCCACCTGAAGCTCACCTCTGTAATACTGGAATCAGGTTTATTGTGTCACTATTATTTACTACACCAGTTTGAACTGGTTCATATGTTCACTTAAAATTAATAGCTTTCAGGTACACAGGCTAAAGTGTCTGTCTGTTTCTGCAGCTCTCCTAAGGGCATGTGCTGATGGAGGTGCCAATCATCTGTATGAGATCACTGCTGGAGATGACAAGTGAGTTTGTACTATATTCACATTTGCAGTAGTTAATTTGTATCTTTACTTATGTTTGTGTCTCTGCCTGTGGCTGTGTGGTTATGCTAGGGAGAAAGATAATGAAGTTGAGAAAGCACACTCTTTTCTTTAAATGTAATAGAATTGTATGTTTCTGACCAAAAACTTACAAGGCTCCAGGCTGTGAGTGATCACTTGCATTTGTGACCAAATTTATTTAAGGTGCGACTGACTCCCCCCCAATGGTCGCACTGGGCGGGGCTGCAAAATAAACGGCTTATGCGCAAACGATGCTCTCACTGCAAACGTATTGGACAGACGTAATAATCTCTGCAATGCTGTCATTGCATCGTTTATCTGCAGGTCTGTCACTCGCCTGTCTCACGAGGCAGAGACTTCCAATCTATCAAATGTGTCAATCCACACTAAATCCAAGACACACACGTCATCCCTGGACCCCTTTTTAATGCTTTGAGTTGAGTTTTTCCTTGTAATCACCACAGACAGCTGCTTAAATCAGCTAGATCACCTGTTAGCCTGTTTGTGTTGGAAACTTTGTACTTGAATCTCTTCTGATGGATCAGGCTCCTGATGTCACTCAGCTTTCTGGTTTTACTTTCCCCCGTACAAGACACAGAAATTAATATACTACTATAATACTGTATCATCATGTTGACTTCTAGGCTATAGAGCACTACAGTGACAATGTAAAAAGACCTGTAAATGTGTTCCATAAGTTTCCCTCTCTGAATTTTACTATAAATGCAAGCTGTGCACTTTGTAAGGTAACATTATTTAAATAGTTTGAGAAATAGAGATTCTTTTGCATTATACTGCAAAACAGACTTGGTGCCACCCAATCAGGCACCGTTGCCACCATCTGAGAGACTTGGTGGCACAGTGCCACCGGTATGAAATGTTAATATGGAGCCCTGAAGTGGCAACATCAGTAATGTATTATGCAGTCAGTAACCCTGTGTTTGGCTGATGCATGAGTTCACCCTGTTTATGTTAGTAGTCTTTTGGGTGTTTCTTTCAAAGTATTGTATATGTGTATTTTGATACCACTTTTTCTTTAACTTTGTGCGGCTAATGGAGGACTGCTGTCAGGACAAAGATGGATTTGGGCTTCACTGGGTCCCTGAAGTGTTAAGACATTCACATTAACACTCTGAGTGTGACCATGAATGTGGATTTTGCCAGGGTGTTAAATGTGATGCTACAATATGGGTGACTGTGTTTATGTGCATGTTCTTGCAATTCTGTCACTGAAACAACCATTTTAAGTTGAAGACATATTTCCAGAATCACCTCATTTAGGCCCATTGAGACTTTATTCATAGGTGCCAAACTTATTCTAGTTTTGGAGAGTAGAACTGAAGATTAAAGCTGAAGGCCTTAACCCTCTGCATCCTTGATGTTTATCGTGTTATTGGGTCAAATATGTTAAGCCAAAACAATCTATTGTAATGTTGCCAATTCAGGAAACTTGATGCTGTACACTTAACCTTAGTCAACATCTTCACCTCAAACCAATGATAGTGATGAGGCAATATTACAAAAGTAGCACTAGATGTTTTAGCAGTGTTTTAAAAAGTTGAAAGTTAACTGGGGTGGCTGTGGCTCACGAGGTAGAGCAGTCGTCTCCTGACCAGCAAGTTGGTGGTTTGACTCCAGGTCTCCCCTAAGTGTCCCTGAGCAAGACACTGAACCCTGAATTGCTCCCGGTGGCTTGTGTGGTAGCCTGTCGTCATCGGTGTATCATCTCCTGTAAAGCGCTTTGGCCAGTGCAACACACTGTGGAAAAATGCGCTATATAAATACAGTCCATTTACCATTTAATGCTGCCCTACTTAATTTCTTTTCAATCACTCAAAACAATCTCGCATCATAAACCACTGCGCTTTGCCCCCTCAGTCTGGCTGCTGGTGAAAGGTCCTCCATGGCTGGCTGTTCAAAATGACTACTTGCAGTTCGAAAAGACACTTCTTATAACTTTTGCTAGATGGCAAGTCGGGCTAATTTACAGACCATATTTTGAAAAATGGTTCAGAAAAGCTGGAATAGCAACAGAAAGGCTGTAGTTGGCAGAGGGTCACGGAAGGGGGCAGGATAATGGAGAGACACACCATGTGCTGTCCATTTTCACTTTATCAGACAATGTGTAAACTCTTAATGCACTTTCTAGATAAAAAAAAGTAAAATTCTAAAGTTTGGTGCTATATTTTCACCAATAAAATAAATAAATAAACATTGAAATTGCTGACAAATAGTGTTATGTTCCAACCCCAGCAGTAAGTATAAAATCAGGAAAACAAAAAAAATCTTACCTTTTAGTGCAGTATCATAAAACCTTTATGGAGGATAGACACTTTTAAAATCAGAAATGGGAGGCAGTAGAAGACTAACTGTACAGTGCAGTTTATTTTTGTAATGCATCGAGATGGGAATGAGGCTGTACAGTAATGTTAGAACAAGGTTTGAGTTATGAGTAGTGAGAGGTTTTCTTGAAGATGAGGTCAGGATATGGTCCTCACTAATATAGTAACACAAACATATGCCAGCGTTTCATCTGTAAGCATCCCCCCCAAAAGAAAGAAAGAGAAACTAGTCATGTATGTCAGTCTCGGAGTGTGAGCATGTAACCCTGCCCTCAGAGGCACTGCTCATGCTCATGTCTGTTTTGGTGTCGCAGGAGATTCATCTTTTGACCTTCCAGTCTGAGCTCTGTCAGCAGTCTGCACAGTGCCGCTGACAGCCCGACCTCTCTCTTAGCTTTTCAACCTGAACAGCATCTGTCCCAAAATGTTATACATTACACAGGAATGGTGGAGATTGGTGAAGAAAAATTGCAAGGGAGGGTAGGAGTGGAAATAGGAGGGTTTGTTTACTGGTGGAGATTTGTAAATCAATCACCAGCGAGTTAAGATGTATTTTACCTAACATTATAATATGTAATGGCCTACAGAGGGGGTGTGTGCTTGTCTGTCTCTAAGTGTCAGCCCTGTGACAGACCTGTCCAGGGTGAACCCTGCCTCTTGCCCAATGTCAGCTGGGATTGGCTCCAGTCCCCCCACGACCTTCTTCAGAATAAGCAGTATAGCTGCTGGATGAATGGATGGACGGACTACAGAAGGGGAGGGGAGATGCAAGCAGTCAAATCAATTTTATGAGCCTCAGCATTCCCATTGTACTCCATGTGATCAAATAGAGGGAGGGATGAGAGAAAGGCACAGGAAGAGAAAAGCAAAAGAAACTGACTTAATGTTTGATAAATGTTTTGAAATGAAGATGATGTAATAGTTGAGCAGAGTTGTTCTGTGTTTGCATTTGCTGGTTTCTGTGTGCATGTAACATTTTGGGCTTTTCCTCAAATTGTGTACAAGTGAAACCATGATTAGCACATTTTTTCCCAGCTGAAATATCAGAGTTTAAAACTTGGGTTAAAAATATCAAAACTTGGATACTTTGGTTTTGTCGGACACAGGCAGAGCCTGTTGAGAGATCCCAAATCTGAATTCTAGCTTACACATCAACAGACTCATGAAAAGCTCAGACCCCTACAAACTCCTGCAAGCAGTGCTGACAAATTATGTTGCTTTACTGTGGGCTCGGCTTTTAAGATGAAGTTTTAAAAATGGAAGACAGCAACAGTGCTCCACAGTCTGTGCACTGTCATCATTTTGACCACATTTATTACAGCTGTTCTGGTGAATATGCTATGTCAGATTTGTTAAGAAAATCAAAGTATTTAATTTGTCTGTATATGTCTGAGGTGGTGTTTTGGAGGGCATACCAAAATATAAATTTGTTCTGAGGTGACATTTGAGTGCATTTGTCCATATTTTACGGTGACTGTTATTTTCATCAGGAAAAAGTGAGAATGGTAAGGTTTCCGGTTAGCTTTTCTGGTCTTTTCATCCGCCACAAGAACAGAGTAGGTGGACGGCCTCCCACGGTTAAAAGAAAGGTCCCACGTAATTTTCTGTCAAAACAGCCTTAATGGTAGTCATTAGAGATGAAAAGACAAGAGGGCGCGTCAGGCTAAGGCTTTCTGCCTCTCATAATGAGTCAAGTGACAATGATTCAACGTCACTTTATGGAGTGTTAGACAGTGGCTTCAGAAAGTTTTCAGACCGCTTCAGTTTTTTCACAATTTATTATGTCGTAGATTCAGTTTTCCATGGATAAAACTGTCAGAACTTTTGCTGTGGCACTCTACATTGTGGTCAGGTACATCTTGTTTGCTTGATTTGTCTTGAGATGTCTACCACTAAATTGAGTTCACCTGTGACAAACTGAATAGATTGGACATAGTTTACATCACAAAGAAAACAGGAGGTCCACACAGTCAAATCTACAAAAAGTCATCTTTGATTTTTTTTTTTATTTTTATTTTTTTTATCATGCATGTTTTGGTTATGGCTTTGATCTGGGCTGATGTATCAATCAAGTGCCAAGCGATGTTATGTCACTGATGTAAAGGATAAACCTCGATCTCACTGATCTGTATGCATTTGTGTTGCAGCAGTTCAAACTGGCCAAAAAGTGGCAGGCGGTGCAGCTAGTAGACGTATTCTACTGGGAATTCACACTAACATAAGACTAGTTTTTTCTGTGTTGCTTTGTTTACAAAAATGCATGACAGCTAAAATACAAAGTGCGGTGAGTCAACTGACAAAACGGATACATATATAATTTGTGATCTTTGTCAACTCCTGTAAAATCAAGTGTTGAAAACATGCCATACAATATTATCTATTAGCCATTTTTCATCTTATGCTGTTCTGCTGTTATTTACATATGGTCATATCTCTATTGTTTAAACCCTAATGTAGAGCTGATGTGTATGTTCTTCACTCTGCTCGAGGACTTTCCCCGTTTTAACAACCTATGTCGTTCTTTTTCTGGTATAGAGTACTGTAAAAGTGAGTCTTAAAACCTGGAATGGAGTTAGCATTTTGCACTTCCAGTTCCCTCACCCTGAAGTCAATGAGTTTTTGTGAATGGGTTTTTGGTTAGATGCCTGAAATAAGGTCTCTGGTAATGAAATGAAATTAGTGTTCATTTCTATGTGCATTGTATCTTATGAAAGAGAGATCTGAATGTGTAAAAGTGCTTTACTTTAGCTTGTATATGTATAAGGGTTGTTCATGTTGTCATCCAAAATAATTTCCCCAACCCCTGCACCAGCTCTCTTTGTTTGATTGGGAGATGAGGTGGATGAGAGGAGTAATTGGGGCAGCATCTCCTGAAGTGATGAACAGATGAGAAAAAGGAGAAGCGTGTTTGTCATGCTGTGATTTAGGACATGATGGGAGATGTGAGGAAGGGAGAGAATATAAATAAGACAACACTTTGTTGTAATGAAGTGGTTGAATAGAAGGAGGGTGTTGTGCTTAGCTTTGAAGGAGACAAACAGAGAAGACAGGATATGTGTTTTTGCCTCTTAAATGCGATGCTTACGAAGTAATATGTTGCCTTAAATACATGGAAAAGCAAGTATTGCAGAGGGGTTAAGAGATGGGATTCCAAAAGGGTGTAAAGTACTGTAGAAAGCAACATGGAAGGGGAAGTATATGTTGGTGGGGAGAGGAGACAAAGGCAGGCAAACAGGATGCACAGAGAGGGCATGAGACATACAGCCAGGCTGATAGACAAACACACACGGAGACACAAGGACAGAGGTTACACAGCCATCCTCCTCTCCCCGTACCCAGACAAACCGCCGGTAAAATGCTCTATTTCCCATCCAAATTAAAGTGTCAGTTGATATTAAACTGGAAGTGAAGACTGTCGGAGACACAACACAGCATTTACGCTCACGCACACAAATACAGAATTTGGTCAACTACTGTCAGCCAATAGAGACGTGTACGCAGGCCACAAAGGACGTGTGTGTGCGGGTGTAAAGCTCTGATCAGGGCCCATCTCGTCCCATCTGTCACATGAAGGTTATTTCTGAATGGAGATGCAATTTTGGCTTCCTGTATGATAAGAGGGGGAAGAGGGTGCCAGCGCTTCAGTTTACCCTCAATCTTGTTTGTGCGTATTGTGTGCAAGCTTTTACCTGGATCACATTTTTGTCCATGTCAGGGTGTGTTTGATTTTCTTTATACATGCTTGTGGTAGATTTTGTGTGTGTGTGTGTGTCTGTGTGTGTGTGGCGGCAGATTGCATATAATTGCTGTTCTATTTGCCTTGTTGTATCTTGTTGGTGTAAATGGGAACACTGGGGGGGGGAATAATCCTTCTGTATCTCTTCCTTCAACCGACCGGAACATTGCTTTTGCTTCTTATGGGGGAGCACGCACACAAACACACTACCCAACCAAGCATGAAATCGTAATGTCAGACCTGTTAATACCTCTAGATAGCAGCAGCCGCATCTCTGCATGGTCCTGCTCCTTTCACATAAATGGAATAAACAGAGAGCTATCTATCTTTCTCTGACAGGAATGTTCTACTCACTAGTGGCTGTTAGATTTTTGGCTGTTCTTACTGATATCTGCAACAGACCTTGTTAATTCCTACACCTGGGGAATGCAGGTTGTTTCAAACCACAGCTGTTTGGATGAATGAAATGCATAGGGAAATTTAGATTCAGAATGCAAAGCCTGTATGCACATATATTCCCAAACCACCTATCAAGTTTCATTTGCAGTTCTAATCATCTTAATTGCATGTATTAGCATGGCATTTCTGCCAGGTTTATGTAGTTAGCAACTATTATTTTGTATTAAGAGAAAGAGAGACTGACAGTGATCTATTAATCACCAAGCTTCTGTGCTTGAGTAACTTCAGAGTAAATCTGCCTTCAGCTCTGCCATCACTCTGCATTTATATGTTTGTATTTATTCCCATGTACTTTACCAGATAAAAGTTTGGACACACTTTCCCATCGAATTGAATAGGAACACACTACCGTGTATGGTTGCGTGTGTGACTGTGTTTTTCCGTCAATCTATGTATCCCTGCAGTCAGCCGTGCCACAGAGAATCACCCTGTCAGTCTCCATGTCTCTTCCCCTCGGTGGTGTCACTCCTCTCCCTCACTGCACAGATCAAAGAGCTGACACATGCCCCGATGTCCTCTCTCTCCTTCTCTTCACTTTCTCTGGGTCTCTGTCTTTCTTGCAATCTTAACCTTCTCACTCTATCACTCACCCTGTCTTTCTATCCTTGCATCCAGGTTTCTCCCTGACTATATCACTGGGGATTTTGATTCCATCGATGCCGAGGTCAAAGCTTTCTATGCAGCCAAGGTGAGTGAAGAGACAATTTTCACACACTCAGACCCACAGATGCTCAAAGACACACCTACAGTGCCTTGCGAAAGTATTCGGCCCCCTTGAACTTTGCGACCTTTTGCCACATTTCAGGCTTCAAACATAAAGATATAAAACTGTAATTTGTTGTGAAGAATCAACAACAAGTGGGACACAATCATGAAGTAGAACGAAATTTATTGGATATTTCAAACGTTTTTAACAAATAAAAAACTGAAAAACTGGGCGTGCAAAATTATTCAGCCCCTTTACTTTCAGTGCAGCAAACTCTCTCCAGAAGTTCAGTGAGGATCTCTGAATGATCCAATGTTGACCTAAATGACTAATGATGATAAATAGAATCC